ACCAAATATCGGATAAGAATGATTTCTCATTACAGTTTCCTTCAAAACATGCCCAATCTCAGTTAAAGGCACAAAACCTGAATCGTTCCAAATACTTCCCAGCTGAAACTTTGAGTCAAATATATTACCTTTATAGTAAATCATAAATTCATATAGGGTTTTTACTATTTTATTTTGTTTTGATTTGGTTCAATGGTATCATTTTCCTTCTTATGTCACAACACAGTTATTTATGCATTTGCTAGCTTGCTATGCCTCAGTGATATACTAATTTTTCTATACAATTTAAGGAAGTAATAATAAGACTAAAGAAATTTATCACATTATTCTAATTTTAGGAGCCTTCCTTATTTTTGAACAGTGAGTCACTTTATATGGGTCTGCCAAAATATCAGGGAGAAAAAATGCAGTCTTCTACTTAACTTAAAGAAGTGTGGTTTTTTGTTTCTTTGTTTTGTTTTTTTCCTTAAGTAAATCAAGTATAATTTACCTTTAAATTGTTGAATTGTGCTTCCCTTGGAAGTAATTATTTCTCAGAAACACTTATGACTCAGGTCTACCTGGCATTATTAATCTCTGAGACTGTTAACTATGTCCATATTATTTTGTCCAAAATAGTTTGCTCCTGAGCTCACCTGTTGCCCCACTTCGTGGAAGTTGGAGTCGGGAGCTATGTGCAGTGCTAATTTAGAAACCTGCCTAAAATGACATCTCAGCCTCAGAGGTGCAAAGTTTTTTAACAATAGGGGGGTAAATTGTAATTAGAATAAATTCATATGTTGAAATAGAATCCCCAGACTGATGCTATTTTTCATTTTCATTTGGGAACAAAACTATAGAAACCTCAAGGCAAAAATCACAGGAAGAATGTATCATGCTGTAGGCCCAATTATGTGGGTACTGCCAAAAACAAATGAATTCAAGAATGTGTAAAAAGGCATAATTGTTATTTTACTTCCTTTTACCCCATCATCCAGACTAAAAAAATGTCTTTGTTGAAGGATTCTCATGGGCCAAGAGCTTCTATTACAATTATTCCTTCTTATCTTTATAACAACTCAATGAGGTAATATTACCCACAGTTCGCAGATAAGGGCACTGAGACTCAGAGAGCAACAATTAACATTTACCAAACACTCACTACTATGCACTTCTATCTCATTTATTTTCATAACAACTTTTTAAGTAGGTAATACTATCTTTTCCTTAGGAGTAAGGACACAGAAGAACAGAAAGGTTAAGGGACATGTCAACAGCTAGCTGGTAACTAATCAAGCACTCTGATTCCAGACTGTACCCTCACCATGAAGCCCAGGTGCCTCCTGGAGAGAAGCAAAGTGCCTTATTTCAGGTAGCACAGATAATAGATGGCAGCACAGAGATCTGAAGCTCAGTATCCTATATCCAATTCAGGGTTTTGCCCACTTGACTAATAATACCATCCAGCACTGATGTCTCTACTTCCTGCTCTGTTCTATGAATTTGGGTACCCCATTACACTCATTTCAGAGCTTTATGGTATACTATTTTAGCTAATTTCCTAATTTTACATGTAACATGTCTTTTTCTGTAAGATTATAAGCTCCCAGATAAAATATATATTCTTGTACCTATCAGAGCTCTAAGCTGACTGTAAGTGCTTAGAAAAGGTAAGAACTATCTATGCCTTTTCTCTGTATTTCCATCAGGGATCCTATGCGTGAAGCCCAAGTGCCACTCTCTTGTACCATCAGATCCAGATGTAACTTAGGCTGTGTCTCAACACAGAGCTCAAAATGACCTTCCTGCTGCCTGCCTTCTGTGCACAATACAGTGCCGGCACATAATACATGCTGGATTGTTACATGAGTAAAGAAGTGCTCGTTGAGCTAAACTAGAGTATTTTAATTCAGCAATACTTATTGAGAGTCATGGTGCTGGACACTTCAGGGTAAAAAACAAAAGAATCTAAGATGTTATTCATGTTCATAGATTTTACCAACTCATCAGAAAGATAAGAGTCTAAATAACAACAGAACAATCGCTTAACAAATTTCGAGTGTCCCTTAGGATTCAGAAATGATGCTAGACCCTGGGTCCATGAGTGAATGAGAGACATCCATTCAAATGCAGATGCTTATTAGCAATTGGTGGAGAGAAATGAGATCAGGACACCTACAATGGAGGAGTGGGCAGATACTTAATACTCTGGTAGGGCACAGGGGGCAGTTAATACAGTTCTTGAAGAATTCTAGAAGACAGTGTGGCTAAGCTGAATCAAGAGAGTATAACTGAAGCCAATAAACTTTTACAGAGAGCATTCTAAGTAGAGAAATTATCTTGTATACAAGTTTGGGGAAGAGAGAATGGCACTTTCAGGGAACTGCAAATCTTTTTGTGTGATGAGAGTATAGAGTTAAAAGGGAAAGGAAAAAAATGATGGAAGAGTCTGAAGACGTAAGCAGGGACCATGTCAGGCACTTTTGTGTGCTATGTACCATGAGAGGAGGAATTCTTAGGAGGAAGAATACTTAGGAAGAGACCATATCAATTCAAGAGAAATCAAGAAAGTTTCTGAAAGTACTGGTAGTGATGACCGAATTAGGGAGTCTTACAAAACTTCACCTACATGTCTCCAAATCCTCTAGCTTTATGGAGTCACCGTTCTTTTAATATTTAAATAAAAATAGCTTCAGCCCCCATAAGGCTAAATCTACATGCCTCCTTGCTCCTCACCCCTGTCTCTGTCCTCAAGAGTCTTGTGATTCTTCTCATTGCTTTTTGCACCAACTTCCTGTTTCCACTGAATTCTTGCCCCTCACTTCCGGCAACTAGTCTTTTTTTTTTTTTTTTACTCCTGCTCCAAACCACATGTGGATTATAGCTCCTTTTCTTTTATGTACTCGAACCCCATTCACACAAGCTTTTATAGATTTTTACTAATGATTTGAAGAGAGCTAAGCCCATTCTTAAAATCCTCTTGTCAAATCCACCATAGGGAATTTATTATAAACTACTGTTTTCTAAAATCTACAGACCTCTTGCCCTATTGTTCCCTTGTGTTCTGTCCCCATTCCCATCTCCCTCAACTTGACAACCTGTCCTGACATTTTCTTCCATTTCTCCTATTTCTGGTCTTTTTTAGCTATTTCTCTCTCTCTCTCTCTCTCTCTCTCTCTCTCTCTCTCTCTCTCNACATGAAGATTCCTCTTCTACTCATGCTTCAAAAGTAAAGCAGAGGTGAGCCCAAACCCAAGGCAAAAAGTTATTATCTTGTGAGTTCATTTGAGGTGACACTTATTTAGAAACCCTTTCTTAAAATGGGCTCTGTAACAAAAAATGTGTGTGGTTGTTCTGCTCACAATAATTATCAGGGCTTTTTTATTTTTTAATTTCCAAATTCCTATGTTGGTAAATTAATTGACCTCCTCTTCCATCTCATGATTAATATATTTTCGTTATGAGCAAAGGAAAGCAATTTATCCAAGGTAACATTTTAAGTTCAGTAATTAGGCTGTGGCTGTCATCCTTTAACTACCTTTGTATTCACACATTCAAGCAGAACCTTACACTGAAGACTAAATGACAAGTGACACAAAGTCACCCTTCCTCCTCCAATCTCTTCTACCAGATAGGCAGGAGTTCCAGCAAGAAAGCATCTCAGAGTGGTCAAGAAAAGAGAGAGGGAGAAAGCCTTGGGGGCCCATTGATTCACTCATTTATCAAGCACGTGTGTATTGCTCACCCATGATGTACTGCCCAAGCTACCAGGTGCTGGAGATTAAGAGATGGCTGCGTGAGATCCACTCCCTGTCCTCATGGAGCTAGTGTGCGGATGGCCAATAAGCAAGAACATGAACACATGCATAATACAACTTCAGGAAAAGACAAGTGTTAAAATTTAGGTAGAGGTGGGAGTGATAGAGAAAAATGAAGAAAGATAAATGAAAGAGCATGCTTGAAGGAGGATTATTTCAGGTAGGGTGGTCACAGAAGGCCTTTATGAGGCCAAAGCTTGGATGAAGAAAACAGTGTGAAGATCTGGGAGGAGAACGTTTCAAGCAGGGAGGCTGGCAAGTCTAATGGCCTGGAGAGGGACATGAGGTTAAAGGTTTAGAAAAACAACCAGAAAGCCTATTGAGTCTGTACAACATAGTGTTTGAATTTGGATGAGGCTTTGACATCAGACTGCCTGGCTTTGAGTCCCAGCTTCACAATGTAGGACTTTGGGCAAGTCAATTCATCTCTGAAGGCATCAGTTTCCTTATCTAGAAAATGGAGCAATACTATCTATCTTACAGTGTGATTGTGGGGTTGAATGAAGCCATCTGTATAAAGTGTACCTGGTTTAGTGTCTGATACTCAGTATGGACTCAATACATTCAGTTATTAGTGCTATTAAATGTCTGATTATGGTCCAGGCATGAAAAGAATAGTTCTGATAATGGCAGCATTGATCTCAGCAGCCATTTGCTTAGGTTATGTCAGGACACACAGGAAGTGCTTACAGCCTTATATTAAATTATGATGCCATGGTCCTCCTCATCTCTCTTCTATANAGCTCAGTGGCAGCTCAGCTTGGGGGCAGCTTACTGGCCCATGTGGAAATCGAACCAGCGACCCTGTTGCTCAGAGCTCGCGCTCTTAACCAACTGAGCCACCTGACCAGCCCTGAACTTCTGATCCAATGCCAAGGCAGGAACTAAAGAGTGTTCTTGTTTGTTCAGTCTTCATTTCATCATCTGTCATCTGCTTATCTTGCATAGCTGTCTGCTGGACATTTAAAACAATATCAACATCACAAACAACCCCTCTCCTCCCAAAAACGAAAGAAAAGGGATTTTTCCTTTTATATTTATTTATTTATTTTGGTTAGCATATTATTTTATTCTACTTATGTGTGTGTTTATACTCAGTGCTATGAAAAACTCACTTACAGAAGGTTAAGTCTCCACTCAAACATAAAATGTTTAAAATGACATTTCAGAGCTGACCCATCTGTTTCTACCCTCTGCTTGTAGGTTGCGGCATGTTTACTCTCCTGTCATCTGTCACAGCTGCCGTCAGTGGCCTGCTGGTGGGTTATGAACTTGGGATCATCTCCGGAGCTGTCCTTCAGATAAGAACCTTATTAGCCCTGACCTGCCATGAGCAGGAAATGTTTGTGAGCTCTCTCCTCATCGGGGCCTTACTCACCTCTCTCACTGGAGGGGGCCTAATCGACAGATATGGAAGAAGGGCTGCGATCATGCTGTCCTCCTGCCTGCTTGGACTTGGAAGCCTCGTGTTGATCCTCAGCTTATCTTATGCCGTTCTGATAATGGGACGCATTGCTGTAGGGGTGTCCATTTCACTCTCTTCAATTGCCACTTGTGTTTACATCGCGGAGATTGCCCCACAGCACAGAAGAGGTCTTCTTGTGTCCCTGAATGAGCTGATGATTGTCATTGGCATCCTTTTTGCCTATGTTTCAAATTACGCATTTGCTAATGTTTCCCATGGCTGGAAGTACATGTTCGGTCTTGTTATTCCTTTGGGAGTTTTGCAAGCAGTTGCAATGTACTTTCTTCCTCCAAGTCCCCGGTTTTTGGTGATGAAAGGACAGGAGGAAGCTGCTAGCAAGGTTCTGGGAAGGTTGCGTCCCATCTCAGCCACAACAGATGAACTCACTGTCATCAAATCTTCCCTGAAAGATGAGTATCAGTATAGTTTCTGGGATCTGTTTCGTTCGAAGGACAACATGAGGACCAGAATAATAATAGGGTTAACATTGGTATTTTTTGTACAAATCACTGGTCAGCCAAACATATTATTCTATGCATCAACTGTTTTGAAATCTGTTGGCTTCCAAAGCAATGAGGCAGCTAGCCTTGCCTCCACAGGGGTCGGGGTTGTCAAGGTCATCAGCACCATTCCAGCCACGCTTCTTGTAGACCATGTTGGGAGCAAAACCTTCCTCTGTGTCGGCTCCTCCGTGATGGCAGCCTCTTTGGTGACCATGGGCATCGTCAATCTCAACATCCACATGAATGTCACCAACATCTGCAGAAGCCATAGTCCTATCAACCAGTCCTGGGATGAGTCTGTGTTTTATGGACCAAGAAACCTATCAGCCAGCAACGACACTTTTAGAGAGCCCTTTAAGGGGATCACTTCCCACAGCAGAAACTCCCTCATGCCCACGAGAAATGATGTGGCTAAGAGAGGGGAGATGACCTCGGCATCCTTACCAAATGCTGGACTGAGTCCAACTGAACACCAGATAGTCACAGACCCTGCAGAAGTCCCACCTTTTTTGAAATGGCTATCCTTAGCCAGCTTGCTTGTTTATGTTGCTGCTTTTTCAATTGGTCTTGGACCGAGTAAGTATTTTTATTTATTCCCCCTCACCCCTTATAAATATTAATGTGTTGCTTTTGAACAATGAGAGCAGCCCCCAGCTTTAGTATCTCTTGTATATAGAACTACTAGAAGCAGGGCAGGAGTAATATTGGCCACCTGATGTTTCTACTGATGCAGAAAGGATACTTGGCTTACACCTGCTTTGTGAAATGTGCAAAGCTAGTGAGTACCCGAAGGGTAAGTTTGCAATTATATGTCACATAAGAATACTTTCACACCAACTGATTCGGGATGAACCAGACCTTGAAAGATATTTACTGCTTAAGAGAATATACTGTTTTGTGAAAGCAAAGTTTAGTGGGATGACATGTTTTTTACATAGCATTCCTGAGTTTCTTCATAAGTGAAAGAAACAATAATCAAGATTTTCTTAGATTGGATGCATTCCAGTAATAATGAAGAAGAAGGAAATTATGAGTTGGGAAGGAGGATGTATTTTCTTTAAGTGTGTTTTTATCACTAGAGCAACCTCCCAGGTTGCTTTATTCTCTTCTATGAAACAGGAGAATGGGCGTCAAGTTACTTCCTTTGAACACAGTGCAAACAATTTACAGAGAAAAAGCTACAAGAGTGTTTTATTTTATATGACCAGTCTACTCCACTGACAAGGTTTAAACACGTCTTGGGAGCAAGCTCTCTAGTTTCCTAGAATAGGTTGTTGCAGTTCTTTAATCTTTTAGCCTCACATCAAAAGTTTAAACCTCTCTGTAGGGAAGTTGTGAAGGGTCTTTTGTACATTCTACTAGAAAATGAAGTGTTTAAAAACCCAGGNCACACACACACACACACACACACTCACGTTAAAATTCTTCCTTTATATTATATAAAACATCTTGGTCTTTTCTCTTTCTCTCTTCCTCTGTCTCATAGTCTGCCTGTGTATTATCAACACGCCCTATGGGCTTCTCCCCTAACATTCAGGTATTTATTTTTAGTAAATAAAGTGCTCTCCCTAAGAGCTTTACAGACACAGACTTTAAAATTTTATTTATTTTCTTCCCATTTTGTATCCCTAAATAAAGAATTTTAGAAGCACTAAGAGTGATTTGCAACCATTTTTGAGTACATGAACTCCTTTTTAAATAGAAAAACATATTCAAATTCTCACATAATAGTCTTCAACATTTTATATTTATTGATTAGACAACATAAAATGACAGCTACTTTTGCATTCACTAGCACTTAGAGTTTAAAAAAAAACCTATTACATCTATGTATGTTTAAAATCTTGAAGTACAAATATGTGTGTTATTTACCACTTTTCCAACAGCCAATAATCATTGATAGATGAGGATCCTCTTTAAAGACCTTTTCAATTTTCAAATGTCCGTAGTTCACCACATCTCTCACACAATGAGAACCTCCATCTTAGAGACACCAAGTCTCTAGGCAAGATGGCTGCCAGTTTGTTCTCCAGATTCATCCCTCTTAACTCTATTGAAAATCCCTATGAAAACATGGAAAGAGCTGCACACTTACAATAGCATTAAAGCCAAATATATTCTTTTTTGTTTGTTTTGTTTCTCTTTGGGGGAGGGGAACATTGTTGGGGAATTGGGGAAGGTTACCAGCCAAGTTGTTTTTCAGTCTTCATTGTGGAGAGTGCCAGTCACCATCTGGCTGTCCTATGGCAGCTCATGGCCTCTGAGCTGAAGGTGCTGTGTTATAATCTTAGTTGCGGGTGGGTATAGCTACCATCCCATGCGGGAGTTGAACCAGCAGCCTTGTTGTTAAGAGCGCACGCTCTATCCACTGAGCCATCCAGGCGGCAGTTCAGCTCAAGGTGCTGAGTTCATTCTTAGTTGCGGGTGAGCATAGCACACCATTGAACAGGCAGTCTTTTGGTTAGGAGCAGGTGCTCTCACTAGCTGAGCCATTCTGCCACCTGTTGGCAGCTCAGCAGCAGCTCAGCTCTCGCATAGCATCACTGGCCCATGTGGGAATCGAACCGGTGGCCCTGTTGCTCAGAGCTAGCACTCTTAAGCTAACTCTTAACCAACTGAGCCACTCAGCTGGCCCGCCAGATATATTCTTGATGAGTTAGAACTTAACCATAAATAAAATGCAAACATGGGTGTAATGTATAAAATAAGCCAATAAAATGTTAAATTTTCACAGGCTGCATCCCTCATTGAGAGAATTTTCACCCTCTAGGGCAGTGGTTCTCAACCTGTGGGTCACGAACCCTCTGGGGGTCGAATGACCCTTTCACAGGGGTTGCCTAAGACCATCGGAAAACAAAAAGATATTTACATTACGATTCATAACAGTAGCACAATTATAGTTATAGAGTAGCAATGAAAATAATTTTATGGATGGGGTCACCACAACGTGAGTAATTGTATTAAGGGGTCGCGGCATTAGGAAGGTTGAGAACGACTGCTCTAGAGACAGAGAAGACTTCTCCATAGTCCCTAGAGCTGCTTTTTCAGGCGGTCAGAAGTTTTTGCTCCACAGTACAATTCTTCCCATCCTATCTTGTCGTTATTACTTCTTTTTCTATATGTCTTTAGGGACTACAGTTTCTAAGATTTTAGCAACTTTGGGCTAGACAGGAAAGACAGTGAGCACTGCATTTTGAGACATGAAGTCAATGTAAGAAGGGACAAAGCCTAGAGGAGCCACTGGAATGATACGCTATAGAAATTGTAGTTTTGTATGTACTGTTTTTAACAAGCAAAGAACTACAAACTGCTTTAAATAACGTATGAATGATATTCCTTATTCATAGTCAGGGGACTAAAAAAAAAAATTTCCTTTCTCAGTTCAATGGAGCCACACAAGAAAAATATTTAACTTGTAGACGTCAGAAATTTGGCTAGCGGCTGTGCACGTCAATTGCTCCTCTAGGTCTAACTAAGAGGAATTTCCGACTGCAACTGAGTGGCTAGAATGAGGTCAGACATTGCCACCCTGAGAGCTGTTCCCACTCTCTCCCGATTTTCCACCGTTCCCACTGGGGGAACTAAAATATTCAGATACTCACTTCTCAGCCTCTCTTGCAGCCAAGTTTGACCACGAATCGCACTGGTTCTGGTCAAAGAGACATTAGGGTAACTTTGTAGGGGAGGAAAAAAGTTTTCATCAATCCTTGTGAGGTTCCAAGCTGGGTCTGAAAATTAAACTGACAAAGACAGATTAACATCAGAAAAGCACCCAAATTTATTTAATATAAGTTTTAAAAGACATGAGACCTGAAGAAATGGTTAAGCCTGAGTATTTTTATGCCAGGTTTGATGTAGAAATATGATATGTTAGAGAGTATGATACGGTAAGCTTAGTCAACTGGGGGGAAACTTAGCAAGGCCTGTTTGTTCAGATTCTTCTTGGCCTCTCTTTGGAGATAAGATTGTTTTTCTCCTGGTATAGGGAGGGCGCCTCTTACAGGGTTTTATGACCTGCTTCAGAGGAAGAGCGAGGCAAAGGCCAGAGGGACCCTCTTGTTTCTGTCATTTTCTCAAGCTCCTTCAGCTTAAAATATTCAACATGCTGAGGTGCCATATTTTGGAGCAGCGTGTCCTGAACGTCGCCATCTTTCAAAGTGCTTCTGGAACATTCCCTCCCTGATAAAAGGAAAGACGTCTTGCCCTAAGCCTTCTTCCATTGTATCTTGCCATTGAAACTGGTTATGAGGGGATCTTATGCCTGGAGCCGTAGCAGCCACCTTGCCCGTATGATGACAAGTCTGGACAAAAGCCAATTGTCTGAGGAAGCAGGAACAGAGGGATAGAGTATGAATTCTTGGAGGCACCAAACTCAAATTGGTCATCTCACTAGTTAAACAATAAATGCCATGGTGTTTTAAGCCCTTGTTTTTCAGGATTTTGGTTTCTTACAGTCAAAAATGTCACTGACTTGTGGGGGCTGAGTAAAGAAAATGCAGCAGATCAGCTTATTGGCAAGTGTGTTTTAAATACAAAGGCAATGCATACATTTTAAGATTCCTTTTTACAGGAAACATATCAATTTTTGTAAATTATCTGATTTTTGTTCTGTATAAGTTTGTAAAAGTGGACTGAAAAAAAGATCTAAGGCAACATCTAATAATAAGAGTGAACTGAGTGAGGTACAGCTGGAGGAGCTAGCTGAGAATGGAGATGCAAATAGACCTACATGAGACATGTAAAAAGTGTGAGGAGACAAAAACTGCAAGAGCAGAATTATTATCTGAAATCTGTGATGTGGAGGATAAATATGAGAAGCTATTCTAGATGTGCATAAAAAGGACATGGAGCTAGAGGTGAGAGAGGAAAGGAATATATATAACTAACCCAGAGAGAATTATTCCTAAGTAAATAAGGGAAAAAACCCAAAACACTAGAAGAAATCTATTCTGAGTAGAAGAACTCAACTAGTTGCAGAAAAACTTAGAAGAAACAAGCACCCAAACTTATCCTTGAGAAAGTTTCACATTGAAGGAGGGGAAGAAGAAAAAGTGAAAGGAGAGAAAGAAAAGAATGAAAGTCAGGGGCCGGCCGAGTGGCGCGATGGTTAAGAACTGGCTTGGGACGCCAGAGGGCCCTGGTTCGGATCCCACATATGAGGGCCAGTGACACTGCNCTGGCCATTGGACAGCTGCTCACACTGGCTCATGGCCACTCACACTGGCTATCAGCCACTCATGGTAGCTTACAGCAGCCCACTGCAGCCCCACTGCAGCCTACACCATCGCCTGCGGCTCACAGCAGCCCAGCTGCAGGTCGAGCTGTTGTTCACCATCTTAGCTATAGAGAGCGCAGTGTCACGGACCCTCATGTGGGATCCGAACCGGAGCCCTGCTGCTCAGAGCTGGTGTCCCAAGATAACTCTTAACCAGCGCACCACTTGGCCAGCCCTAGATTATAAGCTCTTTAAGGAAAGAAATGACATTTCATATTTTTTCTTCTCTCCCTTAAGTGAGCACTGCATAAGTCTGCTTGAAAACCATGCAGGAATACATTTGTGTTTCTAAGGAGGGAAG